ACAGACAGACAGACAGACAGACAGATAGATAGATAGATAGATAGATAATGATAAACAGATGATAGATATAGATAGACAGACAGACAGACAGATAGATGATGATAGATAGATAGATAGACAGACAGATAGACAGACAGATAGATAGATAGATAGATAGAGAGATAGATAGATAGATAGATAGAGAGATAGATAGATAGATAGATAGAGAGATAGATAGATAGATAGATAGAGAGATAGATAGATAGATAGATAGAGAGATAGATAGATAGATAGATAGAGAGATAGATAGATAGATAGATAGAGAGATAGATAGATAGATAGATAGAGAGATAGATAGATAGATAGATAGAGAGATAGATAGATAGATAGATAGAGAGATAGATAGATAGATAGATAGAGAGATAGATAGATAGATAGATAGAGAGATAGATAGATAGATAGATAGAGAGATAGATAGATAGATAGATAGAGAGATAGATAGATAGATAGATAGAGAGATAGATAGATAGATAGATAGAGAGATAGATAGATAGATAGATAGAGAGATAGATAGATAGATAGATAGAGAGATAGATAGATAGATAGATAGAGAGATAGATAGATAGATAGATAGAGAGATAGATAGATAGATAGATAGAGAGATAGATAGATAGATAGATAGAGAGATAGATAGATAGATAGATAGAGAGATAGATAGATAGATAGATAGAGAGATAGATAGATAGATAGATAGAGAGATAGATAGATAGATAGATAGAGAGATAGATAGATAGATAGATAGAGAGATAGATAGATAGATAGATAGAGAGATAGATAGATAGATAGATAGAGAGATAGATAGATAGATAGATAGAGAGATAGATAGATAGATAGATAGAGAGATAGATAGATAGATAGATAGAGAGATAGATAGATAGATAGATAGAGAGATAGATAGATAGATAGATAGAGAGATAGATAGATAGATAGATAGAGAGATAGATAGATAGATAGATAGAGAGATAGATAGATAGATAGATAGAGAGATAGATAGATAGATAGATAGAGAGATAGATAGATAGATAGATAGAGAGATAGATAGATAGATAGATAGAGAGATAGATAGATAGATAGATAGAGAGATAGATAGATAGATAGATAGAGAGATAGATAGATAGATAGATAGAGAGATAGATAGATAGATAGATAGAGAGATAGATAGATAGATAGATAGAGAGATAGATAGATAGATAGATAGAGAGATAGATAGATAGATAGATAGAGAGATAGATAGATAGATAGATAGAGAGATAGATAGATAGATAGATAGAGAGATAGATAGATAGATAGATAGAGAGATAGATAGATAGATAGATAGAGAGATAGATAGATAGATAGATAGAGAGATAGATAGATAGATAGATAGAGAGATAGATAGATAGATAGATAGAGAGATAGATAGATAGATAGATAGAGAGATAGATAGATAGATAGATAGAGAGATAGATAGATAGATAGATAGATAGATAGATAGATAGACAGACAGACAGACAGATAGATAGATAGATAGATAGATAGGTAGATAGGTAGATAGATCCATGGACACACCATGGTAACTGGGGGAGGAGGACGGGAGCTCCAGCAGGTCCATGTGCACATTCTCCAGATAAACAGTGACACATCCATTTACATCTGAACCTCCATCACGCTCTGATACAGCCGCAAAATGCCCAAATCTTTCACATATAAAACATATTTGTATTCTGTTGCTGATAAAAAGCATACAAACAAAGTTGCAGCAACTGTGTGGCTTCAAAATATAAAGTATGAGTCATTTAGACTCTGAGGTCGGCTTTTCAGGTCCAGTTTTGGAGGTTAACAGAGTGAATGATTGCATGGACATTTTTAAAATATATATATATAAATATATTATGCTTCACAAAAAAAAAAAAAAAATCATAGGGGCAGTGTTTTTGTTACTTGAAATAAAATAAATATGAACTGAAATAAAATAATTTCAGCTAGTTGTCAGGAAAATATTTATCATTTTCATTTAGTTTAACTTGATGTACTAAAATTAATTTAAAAAAAAATTAAAAATAAAAATATACAGACATATAAAATGACAAAAACACAACAAAACTACTAAAAATGTTAATTCAAAAGAACAATATAATACAAAATATTATATTTTATATTTTTCTTCAGCTAATTGCCAAGGCAATATTTGTAGTTTTTCATTCTGTTTAACTGTACGTACTACAACTAAACTAAAACTAAAATAAACATTTAAAAAATATACAGAAATTAAACAAACTTATAAAAATGACAAAAGCGCACAGCAAATTCACTAAAACTTTTACTAAAATAAAAAAGAGGAACATAAAATAATATTTTATATCAGCTAGTTGCAAAGACAATATTTCTCATTTTCAGTCAGTTTACCTTGATGTACTAAAATAAATAAGACTAAAACTAAAATAAAACTGAATAAAAACTATACAAACTTAAAACACACACACACACAACTGGAAAACACAAATGACAAAAACACAACAAAATCACTACAATTTTAGCTCAAATTAAAAAGCAACATAAACATACAAATATAAGTAATAATTAAATAAAAATAAAAATGAATTGATAATATTAATAAAAAGTCCATCACAGTTATGCCAAATGAACACTGATCTCATGTAAATTGAAAACTGTCGAGTGTTTTTAAGGTTTCATGTGTCACGGCTCCTTCAATCAGATATGTATCTTAACTATTTAGAATCTCCTATTAAATATTGTTCAATATTTCAGTGATCTTGAAGCCCATTCACTTAACGCTGATTGACTAATTTGAGCAGGAGATGAAATATTGATGCGAGCGAGGGAAGAGCTCTCCAGCGCCAGCAGCACGCTTTATACGCTTGCGTCAAAACCAGTACAAAACTGGGGCCAAACGCTTCTTTCAAACACTTCAAGACTACTTTTAAGTTTCATTCAAAACCCACTAAAACATACTGCTCAACAATATAAATGAATAAATAAATAAGCACAATTTTTCCCCAAAAAGTCAAATAAAAGTCAGCTTATATCAACTGGTATTCACTTGCATTACTTGAAGACTATTTTTAAGTTCTATTAAAAGCCACTAAAAACTCCTGTAGCGCTCAAATAATGATAATAATAATAAAAATGTACAAACAAATAAATAAAAAGTAACTTAGTAACTGATATCCATTGTCTTTCAGATGTCTGTATGTCAAGGCAAAAACTGTTTTCAAATAATAATATTAAAAAGATACAAATGTATAACTAAACACCACTTTTAGACTATTTTACATTCTATTAAAAGCACGATAAAAACTCCTGTTTAA